AAAAAAGAAACGCCAGGCATGTCCACGTTTCAGAATTCCCTGCCTTCTGAAAGTAGTGGGGCGGGAAACACAAATGTTATTGTTATGTAGTCAAATACATGGCAATTCGTCAAGAGGCCACAAATCAAAAACAGAGGCTGTGGATCAAGCGAAAAAGTCTGCAAGCACACTAGCCAAGCTAAGACCTTCAGGGCTCACTTGCGGGCAGCTGCCCACTGCGGAACGGGGGCAAAGGCAACAGTGGAACAGTGGAAATACCTGGGGCCGTGTGAGCAGAGCAGAAGGCGGGAAGAAGCACCGGGAGTGGACAGAGGGCAGGTCAGACATCGCAGGGCAGGGGCCTGACGCGGGCCAGCGGATTCTCAGAACAAGAGCGCAGCCTCTAGGGAAGAAGAGGCTGTGCAACGGACACCGGCCAACAGACACCAGCCAACGGACCGCCCTGATGCTTTCAGGGTTCAAAGGAACCTCTTCCACCAGTGGCTTCAAGGAAGTCCTGAATCGCACACTTGGAAGAGCTTTGCATCTGAGACCTGCTCGCGTTAGCAAACGTCTACCGGTGGTTGCTGAACCAAAAGCAAAAGGCCAGGAAGGGTCAGAGCAGCAGTCTCTCTCTCATATGGACTCCAGAGGACAGGAAAAATAGGATAAAGGCCAGGGGAGGTGTTCCGTGAGGATGCACAGGACCTATGAGACTAGAAGGGAGAGAGGGAGGCTTGTCTGGCATTGACCTGGGGGCAAAGCCGGCGTGGGCTTCATGTTTGTTCTTTATGCGCGGTTTCAGACTGTCAGTGACGTCTATTTTGCAAATCCTACCTGCCCTCTTCCTTCATGGAAGGCCCAGTAAAGACCAGTATCCACCTTAAAAGAGCAACGTCTGCTGTTTTCCTTTAAAACGTGCTGATGTGCACGCAGTAGGTGAAGTCAATGCACCTTTTGTTGGATTTTAATTAAACTTTATTTTAGGAACACTGATTTCAACTTATCATAATTCAATAGTCACTTCTAGGCTGAATGAGAACTCTAAGTGCTGTATTACAAAGTTAAGGGAACAGACAGGCTTGCATTTGGATCTAGTAATCAGTTCTGTGACCCGAGGTCAGTTCTTTAGTCTCTATGACTCAATTTCCTTGTCTGTAAAATGGGTATAATAACCCCTACTGCTTGCCAGCAGTCATGAGGATAAACTGAGACATCACTCCAAAAACAAGAGTGTAGCCAGTGCTCAGCAGAGAGGAAGAACTGAGGACGCCTGAGCTCCCTTCCCTTTCCCTAGTGCACCATAATATAATGTGATATTTAGAATTTTAATTCAGGCAATTACTTAAGTAGTAATTGCTATTTGTATTTACATAGCTGCTTTGATCCAAGAAGCTCAAAGGGCTTTACTAAATTTAGCATTTTAATAAATGTTTCATTTGCATTCCGTTGATTTTGTTTACCCACACCAAAACTTGGAATTTCCTAAAGCAAGACAGTCAGACAAGTGAAAGGGAACAAGAGGATAGCTTCGCGTTCAGAGGTATCCCAGGTCTGAGTTTTATCTGTTTGTCTACGATGTCACGGCTCCCTGGGTCCTGGGGAATAAAATGGCAGTGGGAGACGGGAACACGCCTGCTTCCCACTCAGCTCCCTTTAGCTCCTGCCTGCTGAACTTCACCTTCGCCACGCTTCTCTCCGGCGCTGGCAACCGAGGTATGTTTATTGCACCAATGAATTTATATATAATCAGCACAATAAACATTATTAAATTGCCGGAAGAAAATCAAAGCACGAAGCGCAGCGCCAGTGCTGAATTCTAATGATGCTGAATGGCCGTGATTGCACAGGGACAGGATCTTAACAAGCCTTGATTTGAGCGCTGGCATCCGCCTCACAAATCACATGGGCCGCTCCTCTCGTAATAGTGCTGAATACTGATAAATGTCTCCACACTGCGCAACGGGGAAGTGGGTTTCTATTGGCAATCTTTACCAAAGTGTGTTTTTTCCCTTCTCTACACTCGAGGGTTTACCCTGAATGATTTAATTATAATTTTCCTTGTGTAAGACAAATTAAAGAGGAGAGTAGGAGTGTCGTGCCAAGCACATTATTTATCTCCTTAACAGATTGCAGCTCACCAAACCCCAGAGCTGCTGCCACAGCGGCTGCTCACGGAAGCCCGCAACATGCACGGGGGCAAGAGTGGGGGAGGGGGAGGTTTCCACGCGACCAAGAAGTGTGCAAGCCTAGGTGCGGCTAGGAGACCTCTCACTACTGTCACCAACAAAGCCCCTCAGGATACCACTGCTTTTTTCCAATGCCGTTTTGCATGGAGCCTTCCTGAACCTTTTCAGGAGGATTCTTAAGCTGTTCATCTGAGGCTGAGTCTGAGGGGCTAGGGTACCATCCCCGGTGGCCGAGGCTCTGGCTTGTTCAGAGACTGCGCTGGGAGAACAGAGCAGGAATGAACAGCACACCGAAATCAGCGGACAGCCGGCCAAGTTACAGATATCATGAATGCCCTCGTGAGTAAGGGACGAAACTTCTCTGAGGGACCGCTGTGACAAACGTCAAGGCAGTGAGAACATTTTTAGAGGGATAGCTTTTTACCATTTTCCACTACTTAAACAGGATATCACACCGACGCTTTCAAAATAAACCCGGAGGTAAAACCAGCTAAAACCTCATTATGTAAGTACCTGTACGTACACAAAGCTGGCTAAATAATGACTGAATTTTTCATGATCAATTCTGTAAGTTTCTAACTTTCGAACTATCTTTCACCTAAGGTGCTCGTCAGTCTTGTTCACCAGCTTCAGCTAAAACAGGCTAACCAGCATTTTCTTTTTCATTCAGCCACAACTAGGAACCCACCCGGTCATGTTAACAGAGAGAGCCAAGATATTAAGGAGTGGCAGATAATTTCATAGTCGCTTCTTCTTTGCATATGTAACTGGAAAATTCAGCCTGTCGTTACAGCCAGATGACAGCTCAGTAGAACCCAGATTCTTTTCTGATCCGTATTCTAATTTCGGCATGTAGTATAATGAAGATTAAGTCTCACTCATGTGCAGATGGTAAAAACAATCCAAACGAACTTATTCTTCTGGAATGATCCATTTACTTTCCAACACACCTTCAGACCTGAGAGGGCTATTCTTCTCCTACCCGACTTACCCGTAATCTGTCACCTGACTACAGATACAGAACCCTGTAGAATGGGACCTAGCACAGAGCATCTAAACAAGAAGAGTTTTCCGTGTCACAGGAAATGTTTGCGGGCTCCAACGGCCAACAAGATTGCCACAAATACCTGAAGTGCTTCTGTCAGCAATTCCCAGTGGATGGCCTGCTCTGCCTGTGGATCAAGATGTGATTCGATTGCTCCACAGTAAATGGACAGCATCAACCTTAGACACCAAAAGCAAGTAGAGCAAAGGACAGCAACCTAGAATCTTCTTGAAAGCCCTCTAAGGTTCAGTGTTATTTTTTAATTACAAAGACGCTGTAAGAGGTGAGAAAGCAAGAGAAAAGACTGGCTTCCAGACATACAAACCTAACCTCACTGGAAACAACAGAAGCCATATTTGGCCCAATGCCTCCACACAGTCTTACTGTCCATCATTCCATCCTTCAAATTCTTCTGAACAGGAAATTTAAAACATCTTTTACTTTGCCAATGTCTGCCAGAGAAGTTCCAAAATGCTCTTAAAAGGATGGCTGCAAGTTTGGGTTTAAATACCTATTATCCCCATCTCTCAGAACGTCTCACATTCTTACGCTTGACCAGGACACACGCCCACACATGCACAAATATTCAGAGAGCATTTTCTGTGATTACGGATCTCGGAATAGATAAAATGTTGCTGGTAGAAAGATACACATCTAATTAAACCCGTGGGCTTCTTAATGCTCAATAGTTCAAGAAATATATGAAATTATATTTGTAATTGCTCAAGTGAAGAGTATCATTAAAAAAAAAACTTCACTGAGTCATTTTTATTAAAAAACAAAATATAGAATTTGTTTTTCCTGCTGGAAGTGACATTTACTATCACACATTACTTTGAAAGTTTCTTTTCTTCTGTGTGGGGAAACTGTGCATATGAAATAGATGGGAAACCGTTTAAAAATAGTACATTGAAAATAAAAGTTTTTAATTTTAGGAGCATTATATATATACACTCCACTTCTGAAGAGCATTCAACAGTAGTATTAATGCTTCTGGGGTGTGAGGATCCAATAACATGAATTAACAGCTTCATTTTCTTAGAACTATCTGCTAACATGATGTATTCCGGATATCTCAGACAGACTCGGCTTCAGCTAACATTCAAGCAGAGCTGAGGGCAACTACAATGATAAAGTCTTAACTTCCAGAGAGGAATACAGCGACCGAGACAGCACTGCATTCCTCCCCAGGAGTTAAGACTTATTTTTTTAAACCTGTGCACATAGACATGGATCGTGTGCGCGTATATACAGACCCCTCCCATCTCCCCATCTTTCCAACCTTCACTGAGCACTGACCAGGAAAAAGGCCATGTTCTTTGGAGGCACAACAGTGCAAAAGACAGGCTCACTGCCTTCAAGGAGGGCAGTACGTAGTGGCTAAGTTCTCTGCCTTTCCTTGACCTGTGATTCAAAATCGCCAATACCAGACTCTATGACTCCCTCGGAAGGTGCTCAGAGCCCAGACGACCAGCATGCATGGACTGAGCACTGGGCACGAAGAGGAAGCCTGGAACCCTTGAAATCCAGCCCATCCAGTGAGAAACTATCTCAGCCTGGGTTCTTAAGCTTAGGTTAGATCTGCATTAAGTGCTAATTCCATGTTGAAAAGGTGAAAATAATTAGATGCTTCACACCCAAACCATATTGAACACATTCTTAAGTAATTATATGCACATTCAAGTCACATGGATCCAATTAGGGATCGCTGAGATATGGCAGAGCAAGGCCACCCACCCTCCCTCGTTGAAGACAGTTCCGGACACATCTCGGTGGCTCATTCCTACCTTTCCCTTTTGGGAGTGTGGACTGAGAGCTGTCCATTGGTAGAGGCATGTGGGTTCATTATTAAGGAGGTCTTGGAAGGTGCAGAGGACGAGACACATGTCGTGGTCAGATCCAAACTGCTGTGATTGCTGCCTGTGGTTTCTTCTGCAGAATGAGCACTTGTCACTTCTTTCCAGAGCTGCTGCAGTTCTGTTGGAATCATGCCTGAAACAAACAAATTGGATAATTAAATCAATTAACAGCTAATTCCGTCCTCTTCAAACAGTAATTAAATCAAAGAGTCAGTAAACAAAGCCTAGTGTTAGGGGGTTTGTTTTTTTTTTTTTTTGGGTTGGGTTTTTTTTTTTTTTTTTGGTGTGTGCAGTTTTTTTCCCCCCTCCCAACTAAGGCAAATACGGTAGTAACAACCGTGTCCTCTCACTGAACAGCCAAGTTGAAGTGCCCTCATCACACAGAAAAGACCTCTGTGAAAAGGATTCAAAACACAGTTACTCTGCAAAGACAGTAGGTCTCCATCCAAACTGTTGTTTCCAGATTTTTGAAAAGGAGTAGGTAGATGTTATTGTATTTTCAGCCACAAAGAAGGGCTCGAAGTAAATTTCAACTCAACTATTATGACAACATGAACCACAAAATGAATAATTTTTGTGCTTAAGTCTTAAATGATGACAAATAGCTTTGTTATTAAATATAGTTTTTATTAATCACTTTTAGACATAAATTATGAATTCATATCGTCTTCCTGAAATGCTTTTCAACTTTTAACATTCAAATTGATTATACTATGATTATTTCATTAACACACCTATCTTCCTCATTAATTTTGGTTTCTAGTACCACATGCTTAATTGATGGATGTGTCTACCGAAAAACTGTGTAACTTTTTTTTTTTAACAAGTAACACTATTATTACTGTCATTTCTTAGATCAATGCTAATGAACCATTGCAGAATAAAATGCAAATGTAAAAGAAACTTGGAGTAATAAAGTTCTCTTGTTTCTTAAGGGGGTCAGCATGGGCATGAGTCTTAAGTAGGAAGAGTCAAAACCTGTACTTTCCCCAAGAGAAGAAACCATCAGTATGTCAATCTCATTATTACGGCCTCATCACCCGTGTTGTGGAGGCATGCCTCCCCAGCCCAGGCTTTCCAGAACCCACCTCCATGGACCTGCTGGTGCGGACAACAGCAAACCACCACAGCCAGTCCTTCAAAAGGACAGCTACAAGAAATCGTCAGCCCTGTGCAGCACAAGGCAATTCCACATTAGAACTGGATGTCTGGACTGCGGCTCATTGTTTCAATCAACTGTAACAGCTATCCTAGAAAGCCTGCCATTTTCTGACTATATAGCAGCACCCGATACAGGCGTGTTTCTAACCAAACCTAAGCTATTGAATTAAAAAAGAAGGCCGTGTGCATTATATTCATTTGAAACACATAATAAAAAATGCCAAGGTCTAAATTTAATTTATTTTTGTCATTTAGAATACAATGGATAGATAATCATCTCAACGTGATCAGCCAAACATCTTTACTTTGCTAAACTGTTAAAGATTTTAATTATGCTAGCATTGGAGAGCACTGGTCTAATGAGGCGATGGACTCCAGAGAATCCGAGTGGTTAAGAACTGTGAAATGAGTCTGATAGGATTTTTTTATATTCACCGTGGATCGTTTGCATATCAAAGAGGAGTAAATTATTGCACAGCAGACCAATAACCTTCCCCGCCTTTCTGAGAGGAGCGTTAACAAAAACAGTTGGTCTCTCCTCACGGGTTCTCCACGAAAATGTTCAAATGCTCAAGTATTTGCAATTAATATATATTATAAAAGGTGGCTTCAAATGATACATTAAGTGGTCAGATATTCTTAGAACGCATCCTCAACAGCCAAGTCGGTTTTCTTCTCCCTTCATAAAAATCAAATGCCAATTATATTTTGATGGATTTTGTCCCAAATGAGCATTTAGTTATTAGGCATATTCAATTATTACTTGTCCCCTGAAATTAAGCCTCAGAGGCAAATTAAACAAAGGGAAAGGTCACTCCACAATCCCGTGTCCGGTTCTGCTGCATCTGGGCTATTATTTTCAAACACCTTCCGAAGTGACATGTGGGATGTGTTTGTAGCTAACAGGCCTGCCACCGATGTCCACACACCAACAATTACCTGGGAAGATGGCTGACCCTCCGACCACTGTTTACTCAGTTGAGACAATAGTGAATAGGCTTGTCTGTTGATGATAGCATATCGATAGAAAGCCACGCAAGTCAACACCTATTTTTATTTTCTAGGGAGTAAATACGCATGAAAAGAACGAGCCGCCCATTTTTCAACTCCAACTAATTGATTTCTGGGTCAGCTGCGTGGGAAGTGAAAAAATGGAAGAAAAAAACGGCTTCTAACAACTTTCCCTCCTAGGAAAGCAGGAACTTTGGAGCTGTTTCAGGAGTGAGCTGCTCATCCAGCAAATAAAGACAAAGGCGAAATGACTGGCTACACTTGTTACACCTCCAGCGTACACGGACATTACTCGGCTCTCCTTCTCTTCCAGGGGGCTGGCCAGTAAGTTTCACCCCTCACAAGGGGAACTGGTAGAGAAAACAGTAACTCGCTGACGACAGGCAAGCTTGTGGGTCAAATCTCACTGTGATAATTACGTTTGAGAACATTCTCATCAGACTTACAGAGAGCAGTCAAATCATTCTTCTCCATCAATGCTACTACACCTTGTTAGCGATGTTAAACTATTACTCCAATGCATACCATCTACTGGAAGGTGCTGTTATTTGACAGTCACAATCTCGTGACAGAATTAAGACAGATAAAAGGCAGGCTAGTCACTCATCAGACTAAATGGATATCAAATTTCCAAAAAGCAGCACATATTTCCTCCAATATGGTAGACAGGAATAATAGTACCGGGTTAAACAAATTCATTAACGTACGTGTGTGTGTGTGTGTGTGTGTATGTGCGCGCGCGCGCCTGTCGAACACCTAATCTCTAGTTCGTATTTTCAAAATTAAGAGGTCAGAATGAGCATGAACATTAGGGGGTCAGCTGCTTCAAGAGACCAGGGAGAAAAGTGTATGCACTCATTACATAAAACAGAGAAGATCCTGCAATGCTCTTACAACAAAAATGTCCCTCTGTTTTATACCATAAAACCTTCAGGGAAAAAAAAAAAGGCCTCCAAAATATTACGTTCTATCTAAACACACTTTCACATTTCTGCACATTTAAGGTGACTTAGCCAAGGCCACGAGCAGGTACGTAAAAGAATCACAACGACTGTATCACAAAGTGGCCGTCACTGGCATTTGTAACACCTAACCCTGTGCCCTGCTACATTTCTTTTTCCAGGACAACCAACCCCTTCATTATAAAAGAAAATGCAGACACCGGCTTAAAAAATGTATGTTGTGGGGACAGTTGACAGATTACTGCTCATGGAACTCAATTTTACAACCCCAGGTATCCCTGGCTCAAAGACAAACAGAGTTGATCAACCTTTTTTTGTCCTTGTCCATACCCAGGTGACCATGTTCAAGCAAGCAGAAAGTTGATTTAAACCTCATAATGACATCAGTTTTAAGCTATCATGTCTCTGATAAAAAAAAATTGGGTTGTAGTCCAACACGACTGAATTCTCGAGCCACTTTAGGCAAGGGGAGAGGAGACACAGAACCCACCTCTGGAGCCTACAGAAGATGGCAATGGCACGGGGAGCTCGTTTTGCTGCCACAACCTGACTCCCGAAATAGCGTATTTACATTTAGGTATCTTGGACACACAGCGGGGTACCCCTCAGATATTAAATATGCTCCTTCCTAACGTTGCAGGGGCTAATAGTTATAGCAGATTGCAAAGCATATCAATCAATGCCATGACTGGTGAATTACCTACTGGTGTCTCTGATATGTTACTGCAGAGATTACACTTCATGCATCACCACATTCGTTTCTTTCACATCACACATGAGCCTGTCTTGTCGCTGCCCAATTGCCTTCTTTTGGACAGCTTAACTGATGTACTATAACAATGAACCTTAGTGAGCAAACTTAATAGTACAGGAGCAGTGGGAAAAGATGAGAGGTTGAAGCCCGAGTCCAGTGGGTGTGTCTGAACAGCCTGCAAGGTTTCCAACAATAAACCCGAAGGTGTAATTAATGCACGTTACAACATTGTGCAAGCACAAAAATGCATTCGCCATTGTGTCCTTTCTTCTCCCCTCGTACTGCTCTGTTACCAAACCTCTTTGGACAGCCATGGAAATGCTGACCGTGTATCCAGTAGGTGAGATGTAGTGGCCAAAAGGGGAGGAGGGCCAGGAGGCACAGGAAGGGAGAAAGCACCAGTTTCAACACTGAAAACATACACAAAACCCAGAAAACCCTGGAAGAGATGTAAGTTGGGTGTGGTTGACTCCAGAGAGAAGACTCGGGTGAAGACGTGCCTCCCTGGCTCCACGTGACACTGAAAGTTACTGAACAAATGAGAGCGTCTTAATCACCATGAAGAAGGTTCCACATTTTCAAGCCTCTTTAGAAGGCAACAGAATCCAAGACACCGAAGGCATTAGCTACCAGACTTTAAGGTCCATACACATACATCTGAGCCTACTGCCACTGCCAAGACCAGGGTTCTTGAGGAGGGGGCTGGAACGTGCTGCACCACGTACAGTGTGGGGGAACTGTATTTCAAAACACAGTGTGACGCTTTCTTCTCTCCTTCCACACTGTCCTGCGCTATTTCCGCGTGATCCATGTGCATGCACACTACGCACGTCAAAAACGTGCCGAAACCACGAGGATGTCCTAAAACGGCTAGAAATCCTCACTTGTCTCTGAGGTCCAACACCCATGGTAATCACGCGTCAACGGCTTTTCAGGAGAAACTTTTAAATCTGTGAAATCTAGTTCCCTTGTGTGGAACTCTAGTTTTTGAAGAGCAGGAGGTAGAAATGCTACCTGCTCTGATGAGTTGTAGATCTTGCTCAAAAAAAACCAACAGATGGATACAAACAAGAAATGAAAAAAAAAAAAAAAAAGAAAGAAAGAAAAAGAAAAAAAAAAAGAAAACCTGACAAAAGAGATTACTCTCAATATAGAGAATAAACCTGAATTCATCTCTAGAACTAAAAAAGTGGCATTTCAAAAGCATCACTAAGCTTTCCAACAGAACAAGTTACAGTGATAGAAAAATATACCTTCCATTGGCTAAACAAAAGCCTTCAAGCAAATTCATCTGTGGTTCCAAACGGGCAGAGCTTGATCGGATTGGAACCGGTCCTTGAGTCCCAGCCGTGTTGCTGTCTTACTCCGAGAGCGTGCGGGGGGATGGGGGGGGTGTTCCTCGGCTACTGCTCAGCATCAGCCCACCCCACCTGTCTTCATTCTGGCATCCACGAGCAAGCCCTTCGGCTTCTACAAAGGTCCCTCCTTGGACCTCGTCCAGCCTTTTCTCTGGTTTGTCTATGCTTGTTTTGGATGGCCCACACGCTTCCTGATGGGCCAAAGTATCCCAGCGGACAGCCCCCGCCCCTCGGCCCCGACGTCTCCGTGGAGCAGTGCCTGCCAGGTCAGGAACACTCACCTTGAGCAAGGGGCTGGAGGGGAAGGGCAGGCTGCCCCGGCTGAATCGTAAGGAGGCCTTGGCGCTGTAAAGACAGGAGGTGCTGCTGCTGGAGCTGCTGCATCTGGAGGAGCTGCTGCTGAAAAGCCAACTGCTGGGTAGCCACCTGCTGCTGCTGCAAGAGATCAGGGAGAAAGACGATGAGATGGGGCCGCTTCCCAAGGAAGGTTCAGAGAAGGGACGTTTCAAAACACGTCACCGTCAAACACCAACAATGGTGGCCAGGGGGTTTAGTGGAGGGCTCCGGGTCAGGGCTGGTGTGATGGGGACAGGACAGAGCACGTCGGAAGAGAGCTGGAGGGGGGGCATGGGGAGGGGGGCTGGACGTACTTGCCCTCCGCGGCCAGCGGCCCCAAAACATAACTCTTCCATCAAGTCAGCTTTTCCTACAGTTTGAAAGGCCTGAGCGTTTCTAGTCGAGATGTGAACTTCCAGACTTTGAAACGTTCAGTGATTCATGCCACAGAGCAATGGAAGGCGCCATTCCGGTCTGGAGGGATTTGAACCCTGAACCTCAGAGAGTATACGGAAGAACTAGCTGCCTTCCTCTTGCCTGCACCGGGAGCTTTTAACTACTCTGTTTATCACTCCTGACATAAATAAATGAGAAAAAATCAGACCTTTGAAGAAGAAAAACTTCATCTAATATTGTTAATTAGCCATGACAAACGATGAAATAACATTGTAAATCTTTCATAGAAACAGCCACTAGATTTTAATTACACACATTCATAATTTAGCAAACAACATCGTACTCGACTGTGAGTATTTAATATGAAGGACACTTTAAGCTTCAGATGCCTTAACTTGGCTTTAGTTTCAGAAACCCCCAGGTCGGCTGGCCTGTCCTGCTTCCCCACCCGCTTTGTTCTTGAAAAGAGGGGCTTTACGGTATGATAAATATCTTTTTGTTGATTGGACAATGACAGGAGGAAAACTTTTGTTGTGTAAAACATCAATACATCATTCCTGTGTTTAGCAGGCCTTGCTCCAGCCAAAAAAAATTAATGTAGATTTCCTCAGTAATTATCTGAGTGATAGAAAGATAATACAGTGCAGTAGTACAATAAATAGAAGGAAATTATCTAATATCCTTAATCTGCTAGGAATCAAATCGAGGTGGAGGTCTTAGCCACATTATGGCTAACAGTTATGAAAGGAGAATTAACCCTTGCCAAACTGTAGCCTCCCCCCAAAAAAAAGTAAAAAAAAAAGAAAAAGTTAAAAAAAAAACCCCACAAGATTCGTTTTCCTAATTCTGAGTATCATTCACAACATCAGGAAGACTTCTGCAACTAAAAGGGACTGTACAACCCTTTCAGAGCTTCTAATAACTATACTTTACAAACAACTGCATTCACTTAACCTAACACATGACCTTGATCTGATACAGCCATAAAATGGTACGTGTATCAAGACCTTCTGATGCCAAGTTCAAAGGAAGAGAAAAATGGTGGTTTCCTTTCGGTCTCCGTGCAGTTTATTTTACAGTAAAAACCATCATTCTCCTATTAGCAACCAATTTCAGACTTACTACCATGCCACTGAGAAAGTTAATTGAGTTTCACTCCAAAAAACAAATTCTATACCACTAACAACAAAAATTTAAATAAATTTAAATGAAAAGCCAGTGTTTTCATTTTAAGAACAGCATGCATAAAATGATCCAATTGTTTTCACCCCTTCCCATGTTATCACATTAATGTAAAACCCAATGATAGTTATATTCATGTCAAAATGATTTTTTCACTTCCTCAACAGATATTAATTCATGACACTTAAAAAGAAGAAGAAGAAGAAGAAAGAAGGAAGAGAAAAAAAAAAAACAACATGGATACAATAAAAGATCGGGGAACCAGCTCTTCTTGAAGTAGAAAAGAATGGAGAGGGGTTGCTGGAGTTTGGGGAGGGTGTTTCCTGTCTTACTGTAAATGAAATGTTTAAAAATTTTGTATTTATATAAAATGACTGATGGCTTTTCTGTTGTCTCTGTGGCCATCCCTAGGAAAAGCTCATGAAAGCTGTCTGCGTTGGAAAAGCCAGGATGTGAAAGTATACAAGGCCCATTGTCCAAAGAAAGAATTTAAAAGCAATGCTGGTTGCCAAACTGTGCTCCCCACCCGGTTACCAAACACAGGATACGAGCCCGTTTGTTTACTTCTCCCAATTGAATGCATACAAAAAAGGTCTCCGTGCAGTCCCCTGGACAGGTCAGTAGTCAGTGTTAAAATGCGAAAATGCCCTGATAAACCTTGCATTTCAGATCCCCTCCCTAGAGCTGCAGTCAAAGGTCTGTTTTCCTTTCTTCGGGTCCTCCCTGCTGCCCTAACATAAACTGTCATAACTGCCCAGAGGAACGGCCCTTTTAAAACAATCAACTTAGCCTCCCTCACCCGCACAGGATGGGATCTTTTTTTGTAGCTCCACTGCAAATTAATTCTGCCTTCAATTTTCCACACCCGTTCTGTCAAATATTAACGAGCAGTCACTTCAATAGCTGTATGGGGCTACAGAAGATCTATCCCCTAAAAAGGTCTCAGGGCCAGCTCAACGGGGAGCCTAACTTTCCCAAGGAAACATCTCAAGGCAACTTTAGAAACAAGTTGAGTGAAGGTACATTGTTCTGGCTGAGGATCAAGTGTCTTACCAGAGGGGTAATCAAAAAAGGGGAAAAAGGTGGTGGTGGCAGGGGTGGGGTGGGGTGGGGTAGGGGGCAGATGATTCAAAATTATGAGCCACTGGGGCACCTGGGTGTCTCAGTGGGTTAATTCTCTGCCTTCGGCTCAGGTCATGATCTCAAGGTCCTGGGATCGAGCCCTGCATTGGGCTGTCTGCTCAGCGGGGAGCCTGCTTCCCCCCCCCCCCCCCGCACCCGCCTGCTTCTCTGCCTACTTGTGCTCTCTCTCTGTCAAATAAATAAATACAATCTTTTATTTAAAAAAAAATTATGAGCCACTAATGACTGGGGATTCAGTAAATTAATACACTTGTTCCATCTGTCAACATCCAAGTTCAAACCTTGTTAAAATCAGAACCACCAGTCCACATCATGAAATTGCTACCATGTGACTCTATTTCACCCTAGCACAAAAGGACCACCACCTGCATGATAATTTCAGAAGCCTATCCCCCTTACCTCGGGAAAATAAGGATCTCTTAATCACGGTTACAAAAGCTCTCAGCCAAACCCACCAGCACGAGGAACAGAGAATGGGATCCAAGGGGACCTGCCCGCTGGTCTGCCTACCCCTCGGGATGTGAAGGCAACCTGTCTCTTGGGTCGTGAGTCCCCTTTGCCTTGGAAGTGGATGAGAGAACATGACCACAGCAAACCTCAAGTCCTAGAGATGCTAAAAGGCTGCTCTAATGTCTCTCCTTCTCCTTGTTCAGATACAAAATACTCCCTTCCCAAACTCAGACACCACCATCATCTTTGTGTGCCAAGATGCCCCCTTTCTGACAGCAGCAATTTGGGAGAGTTAACTTTTATCCTTCCTTCTGCCATGTAACTTTCCCCTTCACGTTTCTTTATCTGCCCTCTGAGCTCGTCTGAACTTTCATGTTCTCTCAGCGTGCAGACGTGCCTTCCAAACTCTGTCTAACAGACCAAATAAGAGGTTAATAAGAAGTGGCAACAGAAAGAAAAAACACAATCCCTGGTAACTGATAAGAATGACAGTGGCAGCCCTTTTTTGTTTGTCTTCAAATATAGAGTTAAAGATCTTTAAAAAACTAAATTTTGATGCCTTTGAAAAGAAAGAAGCACAAAATAACAACAGGGGGTTATTGCCTGCGAGCCACAGGGGAGAAACTCCATAATTCTTATTCTCCCTTTTGAAGGCTGTTAGAAATCTGATTCAAAAAAGCAACAGCAGAAGGGGAAACCTCTTGAGGCTGTAACCATTTCCTGTGATCATGCATAATGTGCTTCAAAAGTGGGTTTTTACCAATTCTGTTGATCAATTGCACCTCCTTCATAGCCCTTCTTTTTTCTGCTGTGTTTACATCTGATGTGACTCAATGACAAGCACTGTCTGAGACTGTGAAACAGGCCTGTCATGTTGATTTATGGGCGCATCAAACCACAACTTGTCCAAACTGAAGCTCGCAGTTCATTAATTAGAGAGTTGTGACTTTGAAGTCAGCTTTCAGACTGTGGTTTTTAACATTTGGCTTAATTTATATGCTCTTGAATGTGGATCTCTAAGGAAAAAACTGAAATTCCCTTCTTGTCTTTGAACTTCTTTTGACCGCACAATAATCATTTCTTTGTCCAGAGTGATGCCTGCAATCCCAGAGTCATTAACGCGCATTGAACTGCCACTGATGAGTAAGCCCTACTGAATTAGAAAAACAGCCAGCAAAACAAAGCTGAGAGCCTTCTGCACAGTGATATCTCACAATTACATGCCTTCCCTCCCTGTGCCATTTCCATTTTAATTACTGTTAGTCCTTTAGATTTACATTTTAGACACTTTTTAATCTGTTCCCTTTTTTATTACAGCAGCACTCGGGGGCGCGCCACTGTACTTAAGGGTGGCGTCAGCATTTTCCTGAAAGCACCTCCTCCCCTTCACCCCAAAACTGGCCCGACTCTGCGGGGGTTGCCATCCAGGCTGCTGCATGGGACTCCGGCGAGAACGCTCGGCGGGGCATGGATTAAGCACCCAGTGTATGTGGAGGGAGGAGCCGGCGCAGGGAGACGGTCTGGGCCCTTCCCGCTGGGGGAACAGGAGCGCCGCCCGCCATCCACGCTCGCAGGAGGGGCAGGGCCCCGGAGAGTCCCCCGAGCGAGGCTCCTTCCAAACTAATGACCAGCAGCCACCTGCTTGGGGCCGGAAAGGAAGCCGTTTAAGGGGGCTGGGGGCTGTTTCTCAAACTACAGACCGGGGAGTTCTGAGGAGAACACTCAAAAGGACAGCATTCCTGGCCACGGTAAAAACAGGAGCAGGTAAGTGACTTCGGGTAACTGAAATCAGGAGAAAGATGGCATGGTCATGCCCTCATGCGCACCGATGCTCTCCCCAAGGACTGGTCTAGACCGATATGGATCCGTAGAGGACGTGACATGTAGATACCCTCTCTGGGCAGGCCTTACGGCTTCTGGAGCTGAAGTGGTCACCCAACTGGTTGGAGGGGCCTGGTGCCACAACTGTGTGCTCTTACCAAGCGCCGGGCCCACGGAAGCCATCATGACACACTGGGTTTTGTCAGGGACGCCCAAACCATCCAAGCTCAGAAGAGTCGTCCCATCTTACACCTGCCTTGAGCGATTAGCATACGTGCCTAACTTGTGAGAAAAGGTGAGATAAGGTTTACTCTTGGTCGAACTCCTGTGTTCTGTCCAGCCTCACAAGAGAGGATTCTGGCAAAGGGAAGGGCCGTCCCCGCACACCCAAGCTGGCTGGGCTGGAGAAAACCTCAAGCGCGTGTCCAAGTCTACCTGTGCCGAACGCAGGTGCATCTCGCCTGCTGTTTGGCCTGCGTGTGGGCGGAGCCCCGAAGGCCCAGCCCACCATCCCGCTTCCCCGTGCTCACCAGCGAGCGGTACCCCTGCCTTGGGGGCTAGCCCCCAAGCGGAACCCAGCAAACTCTCAGAGAAAAACGGGACCATCGCTCTTGGCCTGAGAGCTGCGGACCAAGAGCTCAGTTGTGCAATCATTTAAGAGATGAATGACAGTTTAATAGCCACTAGATAGTCCTCTGGGATCTGTGGTTTGAAAGTAAAATATGTATTGTCGGTACCTCTTTAGGCTGTTTTCCAGCATGTTGTTGTTGTAAAAGTTGAAGCTGCAACTGTTCCTGTTGTTTTTTATAAAACTCTTGAAGCTGCTGCTACAAAGGAAAGAGAGGATGGTAAGTAACAGAGGGTAGCGCCAACCCACTGTCCCTTTTCGGTGCCATACACAACTGCGATTTGAAAAATAGCATCCTTTTATCTGTAATGGCCTGACCTTTAGTTTGAGACTCGACCATAAATTTCAGCGCACCCTGACTATTCTTGGCATTACTGTCTGAAAAGTAATCTCCAAAATGAACTGATGAAAAACATACCATTTTCTGCACAAACTAATTAAAATAAGGGAAGGGATGACCTTTGATGGGACAACAAAATCCAGTGCCCTTGCAGAGGGAGTTTGGGCATGCTCTATCGTGAAAAGTGCGCCTGCTTTCTGAAGGGTGGGGCTGTGCAGGGTGGCGGGGTGGTGAGCGTCCGCATCGACAGCGTGGGTAGCTCGCTCTGCCTCTGGTCCCCACCGTCTCACCCCAGCCACTTCTGTCACTGTAGTTCTGAATCGTGTCTCTTTGGTTCAGGGGTCCGGGAAGTCTGAACGGGAGGTCCCTGTGGCACGTGGCGGCCAGAAGTTCATTTCCGCATATCCGCATACATGAAAGAAGGAAAGTGAACTCTGCACCTTAAAAGTAACCAACTCCGGGATGTCTCTTGATGTTTAAAAGAAAAATTCTGTGAGCCTCTGAGTTGAAATGGGGACTTCAAGAGCTGTCACATTTCAACCTGCTCCGAACGTGCTCCCCATTTCGCTTTGATTCACACCATTTAGAAGCCTCTGGGCTTACCAAATAAAAGAGCGTAAAGCCGCATAAGCCTAAAAGATCTTAGTTCTACCAAGTCCAATTACAGCCCTAATCTCAGTCCATCGGGTACTCCCCAGACCCAAACCACAGTCGCTTTGGCAGGACCCCTCCCTTGCTGGGATGCAAACTACATCGATTACTCGGGGGCCCGCTCAGTGTCCTGCCCCAGCCACCCTGTCCTGCCTATCTCTTCAATGGGCAAAGGAGCGGATCGGGTGCGGGGGTCGGTGAGTGGAGTGGCCGGCCCTGGGAGGAGGAGGAGGACGGATGGTTACCTGTTGGAGCATGAGGGCCTGCTGTTGCTGGAGGAGGACCTGGAGCTGCTGAGGGCTCAGCACTTGTTGCTGGAGGATCTGCTGCATTTGCTGGGGAGTGATAACTTGAGGTGTCATCATAGCCACTGACACGGGAACCTAGAACGTTAATGAAGGGTAAATAGGAAGCTAGGAAATCGCGCGCACGCAGCACTCAGTCTTGTGGGGTCAGCGGCAGACTGTCACCAGCCTGCTTGGAGAACTGACCGACTGCCCACGCGCAGCATCCTTATCCAGAGGGGATGCGGCAACGAATCCTATTTCATCTCTTACGGAGTTTACGTGAAATAAAGAAAAACAAAAGAAGCCCTCGCAGCACTGACAGGTGCGCAGCCAGCCTTGCAGGCAGACAAGGAGTAAAGACCTAACAAATGCTATCCGGAGTTAGGTGGCAACGCTCTGGATTTCTTAGGAAGCAGGACTCTTTGGTGGCAATTAGCTCTAGGGAGTTTAATGCAAACTCGAATTCTGTTTTAGAGAACAAGGCAAATGGGAACCAGTACCTTCTCAGCAGGAGCTACTGATCCACTTCCTCCGTGGACAGTGATCTTTAAAGAACAATCAATGAATGCTTGGTCTTGTGGGTGACTGAACCCTGGGCGCACCTCGCGAACTTCAACGCAGACCTTTCCTAAGATGTCTTTTACCCTTCCTTATTCACCCAGCACACAGATGTCTCCATTCTTTCATATTACGTGTGATACCATTAAAAGCTGCTTTCCATGACATTTCAGTGACAAACAGCTACAGTGATGAACTTGATAGCATTTCATATTTGCAACTGTTAACACGTTTCTGCACGGGCATCTTTGCAAGGAACCTGCACACTGTATCTGAAAGGATGATGTCTTGTTCAGATAAAACACTGACATTAAAATGACAGGCTGTCTTGGCCAAGGTTACACAAATTGTATTCAAGCGGATACCTAATGACAATGCTATGAATTCTGCAAGCTTTCTAGAATGTAATTTAGCTATTCAAAATAATCACTGCACTTGTGTTTAATTTGCAGACTACATGAGAACCATTTTGTCAGTCCCCGTAATACAAGAAGACTATTTCATGAAAAATCGCCCCCCCAATAAAAAGATAAGGAAAGGGGAAAAAATAACAATGAAAGAAAAGACAAAACCTGTATGTCTTCTAACAGTAATATTTAAGCATCTTACTTTTCTTTGGTTTCTAATCAAACATGTGACAGCAAGAAGCTAGAAGCAGTAAAGGATATACTTTGTTAAAAAGGATCTCCTGTCATCTCATGTATTACAATAAAAGGTAATAACATGTTTTGCACTTTGCCTGTGTGCCACTTAAAAAAAAAATCCGGCAGACAATAGCTGATCAGAAGATAAAAGAATTAAAAAATCTTTCAGGGGAGCAGTAAGCAAAAGGGAGAAATGCAGTATTAATTTTATGTAACATAATGTCTTAATATGCAGTTTATCTTGACTTTTTCACATGATTTGTCCTGTCATTTGCATAGCAAGCTCTCATTCCTAATTTCACAGTCATTATGCACTGATGTCCCGATTTCTCAGCATCACTAATTTTGATGAACTAAAAATGGTTCCTGAAGGTCAGATTCATGTACAGTGAACAAGCTGCACTGTTGTTGTGGGCATGTTTTGTGTGGGGAGATGTTTATGTGCAAGTTTCGCATTGTTTGGAAAACACCGGCTAGAACATCTGAAAAATTTCATTAACCTAACTCTGGAAGGTCATCATCGAATTCTTCCCATTGCAGTGGCCTTTTAAGTGTAGATGTAGATACACTGTAATTTAAAACAGATGGGCATGTCTGACTATTTTTATATGCAAAAAGGGACAGATGTATATGAATGGATAAATTATCCTTTTAAAAAGATACTTCGCAGCACGAAATATCACCAATGATTAGAACAGTGAACTTGCATTCAATCTAGGGCAAACACAAGAAGGCATTATCAAAACATCTAACCATCTATAAATTAATTCCAATCAGTCTACTTCGTCTTCACACACAAGAAACTTTTTGAGTTTTTAAAAATGTATGGGGTGCCAATCGCTATCTTTCGAGCTGCTAAAGCCAACATATCACAATAGAAGTTTACTTTTCCTTGAGAGTTGCATCATCATACAGGGAGGTTTGATTAAGCAAACAAAAGAACCATGTTTAAGGTTTCTTTTTTCCTCTGCGTTTCTTGGATGACGTACAATATAAATATTCTTGAGCCAAATTTCTGATGGTGATGAACAGGAAAACAGACAGGAATAGGGTGGTGTAAGATTTAAACGGGTGATGAACACGAAATTAACAGTGTTGTAACAGAAGTCATCATAATCTCTCGGTCACAATTTTTTAAAAAGAACTATGGAAAGTCTATGTGTGAGAGGGGAACAAGGGGACTTTTGGAGGTGATGGAAATGCCATCTATCTTGACTGCAGAGGCAGTTTCATTGAGTGTACACATCTGCTCAAACTCTTCCAACTGTACCCTTAAACCGAGTGCATCTTCTTGTATGTAAATTATACTTAAATAAAATCGATTTTAAAAGTTAAAAAAAGGACTGGCGTATACAGATATTTTGAAACCCTTGCATATGGCCAATAGTTAAATGTGCTTCTCCCAGGGTTATTTATTCAACCTAAATAACTGAACAGTTACTGAACAGTACAATGAACTTGACTCTCCTCTTCTTTTTCCCTTTGGACATTTTGATGGAGGTGCTGGTGAGTAATAAGATGCTCAAGCAGCAGGCACAGTCCAAGGAGGGAGAGAGGCGAGAAGCCTGAATAATCCTCCTGCCTGGCACAGGGTCTCTGAATAACCAGGAGTGGGCTATTATATGCTGATGGCCTCAACTTTGCTTTTACTATCTGAAACCACATTTTCACACCAGTTTGCTTGTGAGCCTCCAAACTGGGCCTGGGTTTAATTTATAAATGTGATAAAACTGAGATTTCCCCAGTTTCTGCTCCAACGTGTCTTTAAAATAGGTTGTGGAAGGTTTTAACAAACCTATCCAAATAGACCAGAAACCAGCCTGGGTAGGAAAGGGGGAAAAAAAAATCTGAGCACAGTTTTAGGTTTTAAATAGTTAAGAAAGAGAGCCTACACATATCCACTCTCTTAACTCCCAATGTCCAACTTTTTCATGTAGCTAGTCCCTACTAATACTAGGAATCAAAGGGCATGCAGTACCAGCGAGAGGCTATTATAGTCCACACTTTATTGCCCATTACTACTGAGGTCATTAGCGGCAAGAGTGATCGTACCGGTCTTAACCTATTGATCACTGTAACTACTATCATTTAATCCTGTGTTGAATGTCTGGAAAGCGGCTAAAGGCACACAAGAGAGAGTGCTTTAGCACTGAGAAATATGGCCAAGGCTTAGAAATTACGCCGTGATTCATAAAATCTAGCCAGTGGTTTAAATCAATAGTATTTAAAACAGTCATGTGAGTTCTTAACTACGGTGCTCTACTATTCATGGGCCCCTCTTTGAGACTATTCAGTCAAAACTAAACTTTATTTTTTCCAGATTCTATGCCATCTACCTTACCCTCCTTGAGATAAAAAAAAACAAAAAAAAAACAAAAAAAAAAACAAAAAAACAATAAATTCTGATGTTTTCCTATGCTACGGGGCTCACGCCTGAAGTGGGAGTTTCAGCTAATTCTCGATTTCCTTCTCCAATGACAATTTAAAGATAGTGCAAAAAAAAATTTATATGTCTGATGCTGTAACTACCTTAACTGTTTGAGAATATAGAAATGAGTGTGTTTTATGAGTTAACAATGAATCATAGAAGGCAATTTATGAAGAACTAGAATGATTCTGTCTAGCTGCCTTCAGGGATCAGAAATTCAAATTAAACTTCTGGCAGACATTTAAAGAATGCTAGCATACAAAACTGAATTTAAAAAAAAACACACACACACAGTTAACACTCTTTCGTTGAGTTGCAAGAGGAAATCGTGAATTAAAAAAAAAACACAACACAGACACTGCATGATACACTGTTGACTGATACCATTTGGGTGTGGCTGGTCCCAGGTGCACGTGAACTGGCGGGAATGGCAGAAATTCCGCTGTGCTTGGCCCTCCCTCTGAACGCTGCTAGTAGGGACCTGCTACTACCTTAATACCAGTAACTGGGAAAATGTCGATTGCATTCCCAAGTGCTGGTAGAAGCCCATACATTGCTGTATCAATTCTGCCTGCCACAGTTTTCTTTTGCTTCCAATTGACTTTCTATCATCCGTAGGCCTGAAGACTATTAAAATAATAGGCCTTATTAGTGCCCTTTATTCCCAAAGAGGTGACGGGGTGGGGAAAAACATCTAAAAAAGCAAACAAAAAAACAAAAACGCCCATAGAAACAAGACTCATTGCTAATCTAAGAGACAATTGGAGGAATTGGGTGGGAGGGGAGATGACACAAATAACACACTATCATTTTTTTTTCTTTCTCTTTACATTCACTCACATTAACTCTAAGTAAATACTGCCCAGTGTAAACACACATACATTTTGTCATCAGCATCTTCTCCTAGTTGCTAAGTGTACAAATAATAAAACTGAGAAGACAGAAAAATTTAAGTCCTATTTTATTTCCATTAATCTGGATTAATAAATTAGAAACTATTTTTAATCTCTGTTATTCACCACACATATGTCCCAGGAAACCTGAGAACCCTCCAGACTTCAGGCATGGGATGATAACTGGACCAGGTAAGACAGCGTTAACTGGTTCATCAAATAACAAGAGCAAAACAAATTAAATTAGAAGGGTCCAGAATAGCAAAACCAAACCAAACAAAGAAAATAGTTCCATTAAAAAAACAAAAAACAAAACCAAAGCAACAGAAACAAAAACAAAAAACCTATGCCAAATTTTCTATGACCTATAGAAGCTAACCTGTGTAAAAAAAAAATAAGTACCACTTCATGAATACCATCACCCTGTGAAAGACAATAGTGTTCAGAATTAATAAGCCAATGGAAACAACTGATACATTGGCAAACAAAAAAGTTAGGAAACTTCTATCTATTTCCCAAGGTATCCAGAAAGAAAGAAGGGGAGGGGAGGCAAAACCAAACAAACAAACCACA